AAAGACAGGAAATGAAAAGAAAAAGGAAAGGCACGGAAAGGCACGGCAAAAGGAAAGGAAAAGAAAAGAAAATAGCAAAGGAAAGGAAAGGAAATGAAAGGAAAAGGAAAGGAATGGGGAAGAGATGTGAAAGGAAAGGAAAGGAAAAGGAAAGGAAAGGAAAGGAAAGGAAAGGAAGAGAAGGAAAGAAAAGCAAAGCAAAAAGGATAGAAAATGAAATGAAAGAAAATGGCAAAGGAAAGAAAAGGAAAAGGAAAAGGAAAGAAAAGAAAAAGACAGGAAATGAAAGGAAAAAGGAAAGGCATGGCAAAAGGAAAAGAAAAGAAAAGAAAATGGCAAAGAAAATGAAAGGAAAGAAAAGAAAAGAAAAGGAAAGGAATGTGGAAAGGAAAGGAATGGGGGAAAGGAAAGGAAAGAAAAGGAAAGAAAAGAAAATGGCAATGGAAAGGAAAGGAAAAGGAAAGGGGAAAGAAAAAGACAGGAAATGAAAAGAAAAAGGAAAGGCACGGAAAGGCACGGCAAAAGGAAAGGAAAAGAAAAGAAAATAGCAAAGGAAAGGAAAGGAAATGAAAGGAAAAGGAAAGGAATGGGGAAGAGATGTGAAAGGAAAGGAAAAGGTAAGGAAAGGAAAGGAAAGGAAAGGAAAGGAAGAGAAGGAAAGAAAAGAAAAGAAAAAAGGATAGAAAATGAAATGAAAGAAAATGGCAAAGGAAAGAAAAGGAAAAGGAAAAGGAAAGAAAAGAAAAAGACAGGAAATGAAAGGAAAAAGGAAAGGCATGGCAAAAGGAAAAGAAAAGAAAAGAAAATGGCAAAGAAAATGAAAGGAAAGAAAAGAAAAGAAAAGGAAAGAAAACGGCAAAGGAAAGGAAAAGGATAGGGTAAAGAAAAAGACAGGAAAGGAAAGGAAAAAGGAAAGGAAAGAAAAGAAAATGGCAATGGAAAGGAAAGGAAAAGGAAAGGGGAAAGAAAAAGACAGGAAATGAAAAGAAAAAGGAAAGGCACGGAAAGGCACGGCAAAAGGAAAGGAAAAGAAAAGAAAATAGCAAAGGAAAGGAAAGGAAATGAAAGGAAAAGGAAAGGAATGGGGAAGAGATGTGAAAGGAAAGGAAAAGGTAAGGAAAGGAAAGGAAAGGAAAGGAAAGGAAGAGAAGGAAAGAAAAGAAAAGAAAAAAGGATAGAAAATGAAATGAAAGAAAATGGCAAAGGAAAGAAAAGGAAAAGGAAAAGGAAAGAAAAGAAAAAGACAGGAAATGAAAGGAAAAAGGAAAGGCATGGCAAAAGGAAAAGAAAAGAAAAGAAAATGGCAAAGAAAATGAAAGGAAAGAAAAGAAAAGAAAAGGAAAGAAAACGGCAAAGGAAAGGAAAAGGATAGGGTAAAGAAAAAGACAGGAAAGGAAAGGAAAAAGGAAAGGAAAGAAAAGAAAATGGCAATGGAAAGGAAAGGAAAAGGAAAGGGGAAAGAAAAAGACAGGAAATGAAAAGAAAAAGGAAAGGCACGGAAAGGCACGGCAAAAGGAAAGGAAAATAAAAGAAAATAGCAATGGAAAGGAAAGAAAAGGAAAGAAAACAGCAAAGGAAAGAAAAGGAAAAGGAAAGGTAAAGGAAAGGGGAAAGAAAAATACGAGAAATGAAAGGCAAAAGTAAAAGGAAAGGCACAGCAAAAGTAAAGAAAAAGAAAAGGAAAGAAAATTAAATGAAAGAAAAGGAAAGGGGAAAGGAAAACGAAAAAGAGAAGAGAAAAATAGAGAAGTGAAGTGAAGTGAAAAGAGAAAAAGAGAAGAGAAGAGAAGAGAAGAGAAGAGAAGAGAAGAGAAGAGAAGAGAAGAGAAGAG